GTTTAAAATCATATTGGCCCTAACTGATATAGAAAAGATTAGTTCGTTTCTGAGGCATAATCTATTTTGATTAAAGCACACATGATGTTTGATAAGAAATCATTCATTTAAACTTCACTCATAATATGTTTATTTATTGTGTTTCTAACTGACTGTCATTTTGCACTTAATTTTTAGGTCTTAAAACAAAGTTTTGGCAAGATGTTTCACTACATTTAACTTATATTTTTTTATACATCTACATACGATTAACATGAAAAAATGGGAGATATTCAAAATAGTAAGAAAGAGACTTTTTTCTTGTAAAATGTAGATGTTGCCCTTTAACCTTTGCCTCGTCCCTTTGAAAGGATCGTTTAAATTCTTTAATTAAACATACACGTATTTAATATTGATTCAAAATGTCAAAAATCTCAATGCCAAATCTATTTATTACACGCTTTTCCAAGATAGTACAAGTATTTATACTAAATTTTACAGTATTGACGGTAAAACAGGCTATTCCGATCGTCATGGGAGCTAACATTGGCACATCTGTAACCAATACCATCGTCTCCATTGGTCAGATCACCAATAAGGACGATTTCCGGCGGGCATTTGCCGGTGCTACGGTCCACGATGCTTTCAACTGGCTAACTGTTCTAGTTCTTCTGCCAATAGAAGTAATTACAGGTGCGTGCTTTTAAATTATTAAGAAACAATATATTTCCGTCTGTAGGATAGGTCTGTAAGATAGCCGATATTTAATTATTATTATTGCATAATACTTATCAAAATGAACTAACTTAAATTAATAGTTTCATTTTGCACTTTTTTCTCATAGTAGGCACGAGTTTAAAACTTCAATTATAACGGCCAAAATTAAAGACGTCATTTTAAAGGCACATGTTATGTTAAGCTTTGACAAAAAATGTTCAATTTCAATCTCATTGTTGCTTCTTGAATTAAGTAGGACTGTACAAACTATATTATTTGTATAAATTATGTACAACATTGTTTCAGGTTATTTGGAGGCACTGAGTGGTGCAATAATTGACAGTATCCCACAATTTAACGAGGATATGAAAGACTTGAATAGAGATTACCTTAAAGTTATCACAAATCCTTTAACTAAGCTTGTCATTCAGGTAAGATACCTTTAAAGTACTACTGGTTCATCAATGATAAAGGTTGTACTGTTAACTAAAGCTGCAACATTTAATAAAGTTAACTGCTGTATGTATGGAAGTAGTTTTGTCTTCAAATCATCTGTTAGTATACAGGGTGCAAATAAACAACTAGATTTTATGGGTGTCACAGTTCCTTTGGTGAAGCTCTATCGTGGAGAACTTCGAAAATAAGAATAAATCGAGAAAAAAGTGGCGGCCATTTTATCATATTCAGAAAATAGACCACGTGACCAAATTTCATACTGTTGAAAAGTACTGTTGCCCTTGTACCAGTACAAATTTCTAAGTCACGTGGTACACTTGCATTAACAGTAAGAATAACAGAGGCCTATGGGAAATTGACCTTAGGGGTAATGAGATAGAATAAGCATGTGCCTCACTTAGAAGAAATAACATTTTGATAATTTTCAAGAGCGCTATACAAATATCAACAGTGTTACATGCTCCTATACAGAGTGTAAAGTAGGCCCTATCTCAATAAAAATAAAGAAATATATTAATTAAAAGTTTTGTTTTATGAAACAGATCGACAAAAAGGTGATTACGAAAATTGCAAATGGGGATGAGGAATACTTGGATAAATCTATAATAAAGCACAAATGTTGTGATAAACTTGACAATGGTACCAGCGTAAATTGTAAAACTTGTAAGTATAGACTTTAATTATGCATGTTTGTAAGGCTCTTTTTATTGAATAATGATAATCTAAAGGTTTTTTTTTAAACATATTGCACACTGCTGGTGTTAATTTACGGAGTATTACTTTCGTTTTTCCTCATCAAAGTGGTTATGCTGTATTATAAATTCGTTATTAAGGTATCTAACATGTTATATCGTCTTGTTTAAAGTGTAGTTTGTTATATCAACATCGCTTGGGTTATATAACCTTTCAATCGTTGATATTGAATCATATAAGACACCTTTATTACTAAAATTGCCTGATTTTTCTAACAATAAATTTGTATTACGAGATTTACACTTGACTAATTTTATATATATAATAAGTATCATCTTTCTATATTTGAGTAAATAATTGTATCGTTTAAGCATACTTAACCTGAGTTGAACATGTTTTTTGTTCTTTCAGGTGTGTTCATGTTTGAAAGCATATCCCAACCAGGAAAATGGAGCGATGCAGCTGTTGGTGCCCTTCTTCTGGTTATCGCCCTTGTTCTGTTGTGCGTTTGCCTCGTTCTGATTGTCAAACTATTACATTCATTACTAAGAGGACAAATCGCTCACATTATTCGAAAATTCATCAACGCGAACTTTCCGGGAAAATGCAGCTATTTCACAGGATATCTTGCTATCCTAATCGGTGCAGGATTAACAATTCTTGTACAGTCAAGTTCAATCTTCACCTCTTCAATAACACCACTAGTTGGTATGGGCGTACTTAGTCTAGAGAGGATGTATCCCCTAACACTTGGCTCAAACATCGGAACAACGGCTACGGGAATTCTTGCCGCTTTCGCGCAAGACCCAGATAAGATTCCAAATTCGCTCCAAATTGCATTGTGTCACCTGTTCTTCAATATTTCAGGGATATGTATCTTCTATACGTTTCCATTCTTCCGACCACCAATCAGAATGGCGAAATTCCTCGGAGTCCAAACTGCAAAATACCGCTGGTTTGCAATTATGTACCTGTTTGTAGCCTTTTTCTTATTTCCCGCAGCCGGCTTTGGTCTGTCAGTGGCCAGCTGGATCGCTCTTGCCGCAGTATTTATACCAATTGCTGTTCTTATCATTATAATATTGATCATCAAACTCATTCAGAACAAGCGGCCACTCTGGCTTCCGTCTGTCATGCGCAACTGGAAATGGCTTCCGGTACCACTGAGGTCACTTGCGCCCTTTGATCGTTTTCTGATGATAATTACCGGACACTGTTATTGTTGTCGTAAAGTTGGTTGTATGAAAGCTATAACTGACGATTCTGAAGACAGAAACCAGAAGAAAATTGAATTTAATGACATAAACAATGACGAATTAGTGACGACTGTTACTTATGACAATGGCGCATCTGGAACAGATGGAAATTCTGCAAACAGTACACGCATGTAGAAAATACTAGTGTGATGTTTCATCATGGAAAGTTTAAAATCCTGTTTCGTAAATGAAACAAAGCATAAAGGCAGTTGTGACAAAAATAAACTGTGATATTCTGGGATTTTAACCCGGTATTTTAACAGCAACCAGACCATTTGACGCCAGTTTTAGAACATGGTAATGTACCATTTCTAAATGTGAACAACAAAGCTTATTTCGGAAAGAAAGTTCTTTACGAAATTTTTGCCGTTTATATAATACAAACACAATTTTAACGGGAACGTTAATTGGGCTCCCGAATGTTGATAATATTCTGTAATGATTTTGTTGAGAAATATCTCTTTCTGGCAACATTGTCAGCATCTGTTTTTACGAAATGATTTCCGCAAAAATTAAAATGCTCAGTGTTTCGATGTGTAGTTGAGCTAGTCAATGATGTACTTTTATTTTTGCGATAGAATGAAAAATTTTTAGGTCAGAATATGAACTACCTTATTTTGTAAAATGACTGTCCCACTCTTTGTAAAAATTGAATGCTACCGATTCTTGCAGATACTTGTCCATGGGTTACGTTAAATATTGATTATTAAGGCATAGTAAAATATAAACTTGAACACAAATATGACAAAACATCAAATTATTTTGACTTCTACCCCCGACCATTTACACCTGAATGGGCATAATGTCATGTAAAGCCTTAACCATACAACACGGCCTCTCAGTTACATTTCCAAACTTCAAATATACTTGTCCAGTGATAAGCTCTACAAAATACTTGTATTTATAGTAACATACCTGAAATTACAGAAAGTTTTATTGTCTTTAATATGAAATTGTTTTAACATTATACATTTTCATGTATATAATTATTTGTATCTGCAATGTTTGACTTTTATCTTTAATGAAACATACATGTTGCTGCATTGAAGTTTTCGGATGTTTTAAGTCCAATACAGTGTGTTTTAAGCATAAATGCTTCCTAATATTTGCTTTTGTTTTGTTTTATCTTATACATGTATTTAAATATGTTAAACAGAAATTTAGATTTACCTGGCAATAAATTCTGTTTGTTTTATTTTTGCTATTTTCTTGTTTGTTGATTTAATCCCACACACAAATTGGAATATTTGACTTACTAGGTTTCAAGTTTATTCAAAATATATATTCCAGTTCGCATATTTACAATACAAAAAACATGAGACAAATTATAGTCTGATTTTCTTGGTCTATCAATTATGAATACATTATAGCACTCATTTAAATATATTCGACCCCACTTCGTTTCTGTCCGCATAGTTTACGAGAATTAACAAGAAGTATACAACTAATGCGTTGAAAAACCATACTAGCTTAACGTTTAGGTTGTCGTAACGCAGTAACATAGTCATTTCAGTGATTGTCAAATATATGAGAGGTCTGTGGTTCGATCCTTAATGTTTCCATTGTTTTAGAACTACTCTTTGTTTCCGCAGTACATGTATTTTTTAATGGAAATGGACAAGTTCTTGCAAAACTGTCTACATGAATATGATGCAACTTTGAAACACTGTTTTGTCTCTGTTTTGTGTTTTACGGCATTCAAGTGACATTATTGATTTTAATGAATGTTTTAATATTGATTTCCTTTAATGTATGTTTCTTAACATTATCTACATCATATGTGAAAAGGTTAATTTACATAACGCTAGCACCTGTCTTCATTTTGAGTATATTTAAAAGTTGATGTTACTTTATCTTCTTGTTACTGATGTTATCCACTAAAGACTTAAATAAAAGATCCTTGTCAATTATTTACATCATGTATGACCAGGTTTATAACTCTAGTATCTTTATTTCAAGAGTTATCTTCTCTTTGAACTTATGATGTTACTTTTTAAGAAAAATGCTGTATGGACAAGCATTTTTAACTTAAGAGAAAAAAAAAAGGAACGTAGAGTTATGATTCTTCTCTCAATGGTCTCTACTTTTTGTTTAGTTTAAATAAATTCCTTCAACACTTTTCGCGTTATTCTCCGGACAAGAGTGTGACAGACGAACGGAAGGACAGACAAGCCGTGACTATATGCTCTCACTTCGGGGGGGGGGGGGGGGGAAACATAAGTTGCTGATCAGTCAGCCTTCAATAAGATACTGGTCTGTGCCAGTAACTAGTGTTCAACATTGATAAAAGACAAATAAACAGTGTTTCAGTTCAATAATTTATCAAATATATTATCATGTATTTGTTATACAATCATTTAATACAAAAAATGTTATAATACATGTATAGATATACCAAAAGCATAATTTTCCCTAAAATATTTACTTACATGTACATGCACATGTAATCATGACAAGAGGGCCATGATGGCCCTGAGTCGCTCACCATCAGTGTTTGAATGTCAATATATTCTATTAAATTTGAGCATAAAATATGTTTAAACAATAATTTGAAGAAATGCCATGACCTGAGGCATTTAGGCTTTAGCTTAAACGGGGCTAATCAAATTAATATGAGCAAACTTGATAAAAGACTACCTAAGAATACTATTAAGTTTGGTGATCATTTATCAATTATTTCAGTAGGAAATGATGTTCGGAGGCTTTTTCTATTTTTAGCTTTAGTGGCCCCTTAAAGGGGCCAATCAAATTAATATAAGCAAACTTGATAAAAGAGTACCCAAGAATGCTACAGACAAAGTTTGGTGATCATCCATTAATTAGTTCTGTAGGAGAAGATGTTAAAACGTATTTCTAATTTTTAATTTTAGCGGCCCCTAAAAGGGGCTATATCAAATTAATATGAGCAAAATTAACTAGAACTGCCACTATCATGGCGTGAATACCCCCGCATACCACTTTGTCAGAATCAACAGTGGCCATTTAGAACTCAAGGACAACCTCCCTGCCAAATCTGAGGTTACTAAGCAAGTGCATTGCTAAGTTATGTATTCTACATGCTTCAAATGTGAAAATGTCAAAATCAATACACTCTGGACAGGCATTCTGAAGCAATTGAGGGGAAAAGCTTTATTTTGACAAGGTCCCTGTGACCTTTGACCCAGTGACCTCAAAATCAATACGGATCATTTACTAATCATGACTAACCTCCATGCCAAATATGAAGACTGTGGGTCATAGGAACCTTAAGTTATTGGACGGACAAGCTTTTTGAAGCAAGGCCCCTGTGACCTTGACCTTTGACCCGGTGACCTCAAAATCAATAGGCGTCATCTACTAATCATGACTAACCTCCATGCCAAATATGAAGACTGTGGGTCAAAGGAATCTTAAGTTATTGGGCAGACAAGCTTTTTGAAGTCAAGGCCCCTGTGGCCTTGACCTTTGGCCTGGTGACCTCAAAATTAATAGGGGTCATCTACTAATCACGACTAACCTTCATGCCAAATATGAAGACTGTGGGTCATAGGAATCTTAAGTTTTTTGGCGGACAAGCTTTTTGAAGTCAAGGCCACTGTGACCTTGACCTTTGACCTGGTGACCTCAAAATCAATAGGGGTCATTTACTAATCATGACTAACCTCCATGCCAAATATGAAGACTGTGGGTCATAGGAATCTTAAGTTATTGGGCGGAAAAGCTTTTTGAAGACAAGGCCCCTGTGACCTTGACCTTTGACCTGGTGACCTCAAAATCAATAGGGGTCATCTACTAATCATGACTAACCTCCACGCCAAATATGAAGACTGCGGGTCAAAGGAATCTTAAGTAATTGGGCGGACAAGAAAAAACTGCCGGACGGACGGACAGCAGGACGGACAACCTGATTCCAGTATACCCCCCTTACAACTTTGTTGTGCGGGGGTATAATAAAAGACTACCAAAGAATGCTACAGACAAAGTTTGGTAATCATTCATCAATTAGTTCTGTAGCAATAGACGTTTAAATGTATATCTATTTTTAATTTAAGCGGCCCCTAAAAGGGGCCAATCAAAATAATATGAGCAAACTTGATAAAAGACTACCCAACAATGCTTCAGACAAAGTTTGGTGATCATTCATCCATTAGTTCTGTAGAAATAGACATTTAAAGGTATTTCTATTTTTAGCTATAGAGACCCGTAAAAGGGGCTAATCAAATTAATATGAGCAAACTTGATAAAAGACTACCCAAGAATGCTACAGACAAAGTTTGGTGATCTTCCATCAATTAGTTGTGTAGAAATAGACATTTAAAGGTATTTCTATTTTTAGCTTTTGCGGCCCCTAAAAGGGGCCAATCAAAATAATATTAGCAAACTTGATAAAAGACTTCATAAGAATGCTACAGACAAAGTTTGGTGATCATCCATCAATTAGTTCTCTAGAAATAGACATTTAAAGGTTTTTCTATTTTTAGCTTTTGCGGCCCCTAAAAGGGGCCAATCAAATTAATATGAGCAAACTTGATAAAACACTTCCCGAGAATGCTACAGACAAAGTTTGGTGATCATCCATCAATAAGTTCTGTAGGAGAAGATGTTTAAAGGTTTTTCTATTTTTAGCCCTAGAGACCCCTAAAAGGGGCCAATCAAAATAATATTAGCAAACTTGATAAAAGACTACCTAAGAATGCTACAGACAAAGTTTGGTGATCATCCATTAATTAGTTCTGTAGAAAAATACGTTTCAAGGTTTCTCTATTTTTAGCTTTAGCGGCACCTAAAAGGGGCCAATCAAATTCATATGAGCAAACTTGATAAAAGACTACCCAAGAATGCTACATACAAAGTTTGGTGATCATCCATCCATTGGTTCTGTAGAAGAAGTTGTTTAAAGGTTTTTCTATTTTTAGCCCTAGAGACCCCCCAATCAAATTAATATGAGCAAACTTGATAAAAGACTACCCAAGAATGCTACAGACAAAGTTTGTTGATCATCCATCCATTAGTTCTGTAGAAGAAGTTGTTTAAAGGTTTTTCTATTTTTAGCTCTGCTGACCCCTTAAAGGGGCCAATTGGAATGATATGAGCAAATTCAAGTGTGACTGTCACAAGGATGCTACAGACCAAATTTGAAGTAAATCGGCTTAGTAGTTTCAGAGAAGAAGACGATTGTTGACGCATCACGACGGATGACGGACCCCCCTTTGATACAAATAGCTCACCCCGAGCCTTTGGCTCTGGTGAGCTAATAATCACTTACAATAGCAATTAATAATTATTCCTGTTAAAGGCAAAATCATAATTCCATATTTAACTTTACACTCTGGTTTATTATTAAAACTAATTCTCAACCTGTGGAATTTGTCTAATGGATATTACAAGCTTTTCATTTAGATGTGTCCATTTAAAGTTCAAAGGATTTCAATAACAAAATACAACAAGAGCACCGCTAGGCGGAGCATTATATGCCCGAAAGTGTTTTTTTTTTATATTACGGATGAAGCATTTGTAAGACATTACATAAATTAAATAAAGTATTACCTCCTTCCAATAGCAATCCTCCTATAAAGTTTGAATATTGTGGGCCAAATAGAAATTAAGTTATGCTCCGGAAACTGTTTTCAGTTTTAAAGTAATAGTGACCTTGACCTTGTGACCCCAAAATCAATAGGGGTATTCTACCCAATATGGACAATCATCCTATGAAGTTTGAATATTGTGGGCCAAATAGACCTTAAGTTATGCTCCGGAAACTGTTTTCAGTTTTAAAGTAATAGTGACCTTGACCTTTGACCTTGTGACCCCAAAATCAATAGGGGTCTTCTACCCAATATGGACATTCATCCTATGAAGTTTGAACACTGTGGGCCACATGGAACTTAAGTTATGCTCCGGAAACTGTTTTCAGTTTTAAGGTAATAGTGACCTTGACCTTTGACCTTGTGACCCCAAAATCAATAGGGGTCTTCTACCCAATATGGACAATCATCCTATGAAGTTTGAACACTGTGGGCCAAATGGAACTTAAGTTATGCTCCGGAAACTGTTTTCAGTTTTAAGGTGATAGTGACCTTGACCTTTGACCTTGTGACCCCAAAATCAATAGGGGTCTTCTACCCAATATGGACAATCATCCTATGAAGTTTGAATGTTGTGGGCCAAATGAAACTTAAGTTATGCTCCGGAAACTGTTTTCAGTTTTAAGGTGATAGTGACCTTGACCTTTGACCTTGTGACCCCAAAATCAATAGGGGTCTTCTACCCAATATGGACAATCATCCTATGAAGTTTGAATGTTGTGGGCCAAATGGAACTTAAGTTATGCTCCGGAAACCAAATTGCTAACGGACGGACGGACAGACTGACGGACAGACGGACGGACAGCCGGACAGATGCCAGGGGGTATAACATAATATGCCCGAAAAAATTTCGGGCATATAAAAATCAAGCTACAAACAGTATAGAACCTGACCAAACCGCAGGAATATGCAGGCTAGTCTGACTATAATGTAACTAGTACCAGTCACTTCCTATCACAACAGGTTAAGGTTGAAATTCAGTAGTTGTAATCTAAATGAGTTAATGGTCCTTTGTGCAATATCTCATTATACAATCTTATTGACTGTAATATGGTTTTTAAATCATTTTGTATACATTCAGAATGAGTAAACACTTTTTTAAAAAAAAGTCACACATACAAAAAATAAGTTACGAGTTTTAGAAAACACTTAATTATCACAATCTATGTGACATTTTTAAGGTTTCATTGAAAAAAAATGGCTCAATTTTTAATTTCACTATCATATTTCTACCATGTTTTTCATAGATTAAGGGTAAAATTTGCTTTGTCTGTTTGTCTGGTTTATATGAAGATTTCAACACATTCTTATAAAAAGAAATTGTTATGGTCTTATGCTTGTTTTCCAGTTATATATACTGTGATGTAAGATGTTACATGCTTGCACGTTTGCTAAATAAAATATGTTTAACTTAAACAGAAAATGACACTCTGCTGGGGTTATTTTAATAAATACTGTAGCACTGTGATATCAACAGTGCTATATAAAATATTGCAAATATGCCCCACAATGATGAGATAAAAGTTATCATATCCCTAACAAGCATAACGAGATTATGATGAGAACATTTTGTAGAAAACAATAAAATCAAAATCAAAATCATATATTTGTGGAAAACATCAATATGAAAATTTTATAAAACATACATTTTATATTATTTTTCTTATTGTATTAAAGTCAAAATGATATACATGTATCAATATCAATATCACACATTAACCCAGTGAGGTTCATGACACATTAACCTAGGCAAGTGAATGACACATTAACCCAGTGAAGTTCAGGACACATGAACCATGTGAAGTGAACGGCATATAAACCCAATAAATTGAATGACACATTAACCATGTGAAGTGAATGACATATAAACCCAATGAAGTGAATGACAAATTCACCCAGTGAAGTGAACCCAAAGACGTATAAGTTGTGAACGTGGCAAACTGATAAAAACACATTATAAAAAGAGACCATTAATTGTTGTCCTTTAAACTACTGCATAATGTCTACAAACTGAGCATTTTTTTATACTAAACAGAAGAAATTTAGATAAGAACAAGATTGCATTTGAGAAAAATGCTATGCCACCGCATTAATACAACACTAAATAGTAGTGTAGGAACAGATTTATTTTGTTTCTTTACAATTGAAGATTGTCATAATGCATAGATCCCTGACCTATCTAATTTTTATTATCAGATTAGTGGTTAAATATATTGTTATTCCAATAAAAGGTCAGAGAAGGAATATACCAATGCACTGGAGTCTAGTGAATTCGGAGGTGAAGGTCATATTTCACACAGCTTAAATTTCACGACTACAATCAAAGGACAACACAGAAAGACAACTTTGTCAAAATCTAGGTCAGCTGATATCAAAGTTCACTTTACATCTTAATCTGTGCACATGGTTTCATAGCTGTACATCAAAGGACAAGAAAAGTAGGTACATCATCAAAATCTAGGTCACCTGATATCAAATTCAAATTTTACAACTAAAACTGTGCAAAACATTATCAAAATTTCATTGCTGGACATCAAAGGACAAGAAAGTAGGTCACTGTCCCCCTTGGGGCAAGGCCAAGGGTTTAATTCAAAACAATCTTGATAACAGGTCACCAAACAACATTTTAAGTCAAATATCTAAGCTGTAGCTTTTTTTTTCCCATTTTTACTATATAGCATTTAAGCGGAAAACCTATGGCCCCTGGGGCAGGGCAATTTTGACACTAGAGGCAAAATTTCAACAACTTTGGTAGAGTACCTATAGATGATATCATTTAACAAAATTTAATATTAAAGCTCTAAGCCTTGTACCTTCAGAGAATAAGATTTTTTTGATTTTTTACTATATGTATATATTGAAAATCAATGACCCCCAGGGTCGGGGCAATTTTGACCCAAGGGCTATAATTTGAACAATCTTGCTAGAGATTCACTTCACAATGTTCATGCAAAATAATTAACCTCTAGCATTTGTCAGTTGCTAGAAGAATTTTTTTTTAAGTTTTTACTATAAGTTTTTACTCTATACATATAAGTAAAACCAATGACCCCCGGGGCGAGGCTGATTTTAACCCAAGGGCTAAAATTTGAACAATCTTGGTAAGGGTCTACCAGACAATGCCTTAGGCAAAATATCTAAGCTCTAGGCCTTTTGGGTCTTTACAAGAAGGTATTTTAAGTTTTTACTATATGTACATATAGTGAAAATCAATGACCCCCGGGCAGGGCCAATTTTGACCCCAGGGCTATAATTTGAACAATCTTGGTAAGGGTCTACCAGACAATGCCTTATGCAAAATATCTAAGCTCTAGGCCTTTTGGGTCTTTACAAAAAGGTATTTTAAGTTTTTACTATATGTACATATAGTGAAAATCAATGATCCCCGGGCGGGGCCAATTTTGACCCCAGGGCTATAATTTGAACAATCTTGGTAGAGGTCTACCAGACAATGCCTTATGCAAAATATCTAAGCTCTAGGCTTTTTGGGTCTTTACAAGAAGATTTTTTTTAATTTATTCTTATAATTCCTTTTGGTTGCCATGGCAACCAGATTTCTGCATGGAATGAAATTCTTTGAACAACTTTGGAAGCCCTTCACCCAAGGATCAATCCTGCCAAGTTTGGTTGAAATTGGACTAGTGGTTTTTCACAAGAAGATTTTTTAAGTTCACTATATAATCTATATAACACACAAACAAACAAACACACACACAGGTGAATTGCTATATGCCACCGCATCGCAGATGCTGCGGTGGCATAATAAATAAATACAAATAAATGCAAGCTGTGGAGTGTAAATAATAAGAGAAAAATGTTCCATTATAAAATATAAGCAAAAAGTGAATGTTTAAGAAGAATGTATGTAATTACTTCTGTAAAATCTGTAACATTGCATTATTTCTGAAAAACTTAAAAAATATTGCAAGCATCTGTTATCAATATATAGTTTCACAAATCACTGTAGAATCCAATCTTCACAAATTTGCTTAACAGAAAATGTTACTAGTACATGTATAAAGTGATACACATGTATTTGTTTACAGCTGTATTGTAAAATATCTTTTCTCTGTCCGTCCAACCAACATTATTGGATCCTTGGATCCATTATCAAAACCATAAATTATATAAATATCATTACATAAAATATTGAGTGATAGTAAACTGACATAGTTTTGATGTAAAAAAATTATCTTATAAATTCCTTTTCCAATTGTCCCCAGGCTTAATATATGCATCTGGTTACACTAGCAGATCAACATGGAAACAAAAGTAACAATGATATATGTAACATGTTTCAGTAAATATTCCTGTGTTGTTGTGATGAAGATCAAGAAGGCAATTGTGGAGATAAAGTAAATAAACAAAAAAAATAATTCTCAGATAGAAGGCAACAGATGTAAATATCACTTAAATAACACCAGATTATTGTCCCTAATGACAGATAAATAGCATTGCAAAACTACGAAAAAGTAAAAAAAAAATCTATCTTTGACCTCAGTGACCTTCACCTTTGACTTCAAACTGCACAATATACATATCAATGAACAGTAAACATATACTAAATACACATACCAAATATCCTAGATATCAGCACAAAAAATTAAGTGACCTTGACCCTACTGACCACAAACCCCACAAAAGAGTAGCGGTCAATAAAGATACCTACATACCAAATTATCTAAGACATTGGTCTATAAATAATGATGCTATCAGAGTACACATTACTCTAAAAGTTGAAAAGACTAAATGTTAACAAATGTCCACATTTAGATTGTTGAAAAAAAGCATAAAAAGCATTAAAATACAAAACACCAAACATTAAACTACACATATAATACCCTGAATTCAAATATTATTTTGTAGAACCTCATTCATTCAATTCATTAAATCAAACATTCAATGATTAATTCATATAACTAAACTTTTGATATATGTTCATTTGGTCAATGAAAATGTATCTATATAAACTGTCACCCAAAGCTGAGCAACAATTTAAAATTAAATACATTATTTTTATCACATAATCACTAACAATATCACAATAATAATTATATACAAGTCTTCAAAGGTTATCTACATAGCTGTAGAAATACCAGTAATTATACATGTAATTATAAGAATAAAATAAATCAATGTGATTGAAATATCATTAGATTACATTTTGTATAAAACAAGGATTTCTCTAGGTTAGTATAGTGTACCTTTTTTCTAAATTAAAGATCACTGCATGCTTACTTATTATACAAGAGAGAAGTTTACAACAAAATTTCTGTAATATAACCATGATTTTGTGTCAAAATAGCAATGACTTTGCTCTGCTTACATTTGTTAAATAGCTAAAGTTAAATGTAATTTTCTAATATTCATCAAAATATTATGACACAGAATTTGTACAACTTTAAGTAATACACATTATTAAATAATACTTAACATTAATACTTTACATTCCAAACCATACTTATATGCTCTTAAACTATTAAAAGGACTATTAAAATTTATTACTTATTGCAATGAAAATCTCTATCTGATAATACACAAGCTACAGTAAATTCTCAAATTTATTATTCTTTTATAGGTAAGGTTATGTTCATTTCTTTGCAGACATCTTTAATACACTTCAATAAATGCCTCACATCATTGGGGAACAGGTATCCAATACTTCCTATCCTAAAACAGTCTGCATCGAGCACTTTACCTGGGTAGATTACCTGATCTGAAATATAACAACAAGAAAATCCATGATTATTTAGTGATAATATTTCAACTGAGAACTTGCAATACAAGCCAGTCTTCAAGCCCTCATGTACAGACTAATTACAACAAAATAAGGCCAATATGACTATAAATAATTTATTTTTAAATCTTGAAAAACAATGTCACTAACAAAATTGCATAGAAAGTAGCCCGAGTTTTATTTTGCAAGGAAAGAGATTGAGGAAAATTTGAAATTTCATGTGACATCATGAAAAGTTGGATTTCAATTTGACAGTACCTAAGTTTAAGTGAGTTTCTTAAATCAGATCATTAAAGAGAAATTTCTATTTCTAGATCAATCTCTAAACCAGTTTATATGAGAATAAATTATAACATGTAATGACTGAATGATCAGTGTAAAATAGATTTAACTTTAGATTTCATTGCTGCATCAGGATATGAATCTGTAAAAAATTTACTGCTCTTTTATCAATATTTGTCATGGGTGAATAACATAAGTTGATTTCTAAAATGAATTCCTTTCAGGTAGAGATAAATTGAAATGCACACATTTTTTTGTATCTTATGCGAGGAAGTGACAATAACATACAGTAAGTGATATAGACACAATAACAACTTATCAACCTTGATAGTAAATAAAATATCATTTATCATTTTCCTATGCTTTAACATTCTTTTTCAAAAACAAGAGGGCCATAATGGCCCTTATATTGCTCACCTGATTATGAAGGCTCAATCCCATTTTATTTGGGCTGTGTGACCTAGTTTTTGAACACAGATGACCCATATTTAAACTTGACCTAGAAATCACCAACACAACCTTTCTGACCTTTTCATGGTTATTTGGATCACAACAGTGACCTCTAAGGAGTAATTAAACAAGGTGTTTCCATATAAGGGTTGTGTGGGCCTAGTTTCTGAACACAAGTGACCCATATTAAAACTTGACCAGGAAATCATCATAACAACCATTCTGACCAATTTCCAGGATATTTTGTCTGGAACAGTAGCTTAGGCTGTGTGACCAAGTTTTTGACCCCAGGTGATCCATATTCAAACTTGACCTAGAAATCATCATTTCAATCTTATTGACCAATTTCCAGGATATTTGGTTTAAAACAGTAGTCAATCTTATTAAAGGAGACATATACAAATAACGAAAATCAATGACCCCTAGGGCTTTTATTTAAACAAACTTGTTTTATGCTAAATATCTTAGCTCTAGCTCTTAGGGTTTTTTAAAAGAAGATTTTTTAATTTTTTACTATATGTATATAATGAAAATCAAAGACCCCCAGAACGGGGCTAATTTTGACGCTAAGACTTTTATTTGGACAAACTTGGTAGACATTCAATAGAAGATGTTTCATGCCAAATATCTAAGCTCTAGCTCTTTTGTTTTTTTTTTCAAGAAGATTTTTTAAGTTTTTACTGTATGTTTATAATGAAAACAACCAATTTTGCCCCCAGGGCTATAATGTGAACAAATTGTGCAGAGTTTCAGTAGATGATGTTACATACATAATATCTAAGCTCTAGGCCTTGCACCTTCAGAGGAGAAAATTTTTCAAGATTTCATTTCAAAAATCTATTTTTAGCCCTACTGACCAAGATGTTCAATTGATTGAGCAGAACCATTTGATCAATTTTAGTAGAGCTTCATGCTAGGAACATCCCATGAAAAATTCATCTCATTTGGCCCAGTGATTTCTGAGAAGAAATTGTTTGTATAAAAAAGTTGATGACGGACGCTAAGCATACTTATTTATGAAATGGTACTTAAGTGACTTTTCCTTTGATCTTTTTAGCCATTTTTAGTCACACAAGGCTTAAAAAAATACACACAAGTAAAAACGCAAATGAATAGGATCAAAGAGAATTTACTGTTACCTATTCTTCTCCAAGTCACACAAGTACCTCTGGGTTTGTACACACTGACAGACGATGGACAAATTGTGATCACAAAAGCTCACCTTGAGCACTTTGTGTTCAGGTGAGCTAAAAACAAATCTTCTCAAATAGTACTTAAAAAGAAAAACTGATTCTGTGAAATATAAATTACCTCTTTCATTCAATTTCATGTAGAAATTGTTAAAATTGAAATTTTTATCTTGTGGAAAGCAATATGATGTAATGATATATCCTTCATGGTTTGGGCTCAAAAATTCTTTAAAACCCATTTCCTTCATGCCTGCCTTCAATATAGTACAATTCTCTCTATATCTGAAAAAACAACAATTCTCTATATTCAACCTAGCTCAAAACGAAACAATGGTTAACATACATTTTAAAGTACATATCACAGGATTTCATTTTTTGTCTTTCTTTTAATAAATAATTAAGAGAATTTCAAGCTTTACTTAACTGATCATAATTATATATGTTGGAACACTTACTTATTATATAGTAAGATTTCATATTCTTTAATGACAAGTTTTCTGCTTACATAAAAATGTTTCAAACAAAAATATAAATGGTTCATTCATATAGCTTAGAATTTGTTACATAATGTTGATCTGAGAAGTTTTCTGGGGGAATATTTCTTTTGCCCCCTCATAAACATTACTTAATTGACCCAATTTCATACTACTAGTACAAACTGCAAGTAAAACTGTAAATACAGTGGCCCTTACTAACAGCAAACTCAGATAGTGCTCACTCATATATAACAAACACTCTTACTGGGTCCTGATTTCCCACAAATCCTCTTTAAATACAATTACAGCACCTATATCAAGCCAACTGTAGGTATCTCCAACGTTTCAAGTGGTTAAACCCCTCTTTTTCAAGGAGTTTCTGTTTATTTTAAATCATATATTTATCTTTTTATCTTACACTGTGTCATGTATACAGACAATGACATCATATACATAACATAACATAGTGTAAGATGAGAAGATAAATATGTGATTTATAAATATAAACAGAAACTCCTTGAAAAAAGAGGTTAAACCCCTGGACACAATGGACATTGAAATCTTTGTGTAGTACATAATTATTAACTAACTGTTTCTAGAATGATTTTAAACTGTAGGTAAAACATTTTTTCAAACACACTTACCTAGCCGATCTACCTTCAACCCCTCCCTCTGTTTCAAACTCCTGTATAGCCTGTGCAAATGCCAGCATTGTGTGGGTAGGTGGGGTAAATCTAAACTGATTTGTCTTTTCTAAATTGTCATACTGCTCAAATAAATCTAAACTTATACTTCTGGAATTACCTGTAATTGACAAGTAATGCATACATGTACTTAATAACTGGTGCATCTCCACATTTTTAACTAGAAAATGTTTTTCTTAGAATCGAAAAGAAATTAAAATTATTCTACATGTTAATTGATAAATCTAACAAAATCTTCATGAATAACCAATGATACATTCTTTTACACAAGCATGAAAAGCCAGCAGACCTAAAATTTGGCTAGGTTACTTTTGATGAAAACAAAGAGAAAGAGTTATCCAACCATTCTAACCATTACCTGATTTTAACATCCAGACAGTAAAATAAACAACAAGAAATTTGATATTTAAATTTTTTATTAATATAAATAAAATATTAATATATATGTCATCTGTTTTGTGTTGTTAAAATCACTTTTTATTGAAAATATTTACTTAATGTTGTGTATAGAACCATTTCTGTATAACAGGTATAAAGATACTGATCATATTATACAGGTATTTTCTGAAAAAAGTAGTATTCATAATGCTCAATACTACTTTTGTTCTAGTTTCAAGTATTTTAGCACGCTGAAAAACTTCTAGTATAAGCTTTTCATATTGGATCAGATTCAATATTATTTGACCTTTATAACTGCTTGTAGTTTATTGTATAAAACATAGTGTCCAAATAACATTTACACATTTTAATATATCTTAAAGGGAAGTTAAAGATCCTGTTACTCAAATTTTTTATAGTTTTATTTCATTAATATATAGAGGATATTTGTTTAGTTCAGTGTAAGATTGGAATATATTTCACAGAGTAAGCACCAAAAGGTACGAGTGAAATATGAACTTTTGGTGTTCACAAGGTGAAATATATTTTGATCGTACACTAAACTAAACAAATTTTCTTTTTATTATATGCAAAGAAACGTTTTAAAGACATTTAACCTAATACTAAATGAAAAGTGCGCCAAATAATAATACAACATGACATCATTTACGACGTCACATCATTAAGTTGGTTTCCAGTACTGTGCACGCTGGTATTTCACTGAAACAACTTAACGGGCTTAAATTCAAAACAGTGAAATTATCAAATTGATAATTTCACTGTTTAAAACAGTGAATTGATAATTTCACTGTTTAAAACAGTGAAATTATCAGTTTAATTTCTCTGATATATTTCTATAAACCACTGAAAAGCATGTAATAAAATGCTCAAATGAAGTATATCAAAATTCTAAGTTCCAACAAGAGCTGTCGGTAGGACAGCATGCTCGACTATTCTTAGTGCTTGATAGTAAAAAAAATGCCTGGTACAGTTACCTCCTCCTGTTTACAGGTTGGGGTCATGATGGTGAACAAGTGTGCAAAGTTTCAAAGCCATATGTCAATGGACTTTGAAAATATTTGAACTATTACAAAAACTTTAACGTAAATTCTAAGTCGAAAAAAGGGGCATAATTCTGTCAAAATGCTTGATAGAGTTACCTCCTCCTGTCACAGGTTGGGGTCATGATGTTGAACAAGTGTGCAAAGTTTCAAAGCCATATGTCAATGGACTTTGAAAATATTTGAACTATTACAAAAACTTTAACGTAAATTCTAAGTCGAAAAAGGGGGCATAATTCTGTCAAAAATGCTTGATAGAGTTACCTCCTCCTGTCTACAGGTTGGGGTCATGATGGTAAAAAAGTGTGCAAAGTTTCAAAGCCATATGTCAATGGACTTTGAAAATATTTGAACTATTACAAAAAACTTTAACGTAAATTCTAAGTCGAAAAAGGGGCATAATTCTGTCAAAATACTTGATAGAGTTACCTCCTCCTGTCTACAGGTTGGGGTCATGATGGTGAACAAGTGTGCAAAGTTTCAAAGCCATATGTCAATGGACTTTGAAAATATTTGAACTATTACAAAAACTTTAACGTAAATTCTAAGTCGAAAAAGGGGCATAATTCTGTCAAAATGCTTGATAGAGTTACCTCCTCCTGTCTACAGGTTGGGGTCATGATGGTGAACAAGTGTGCAAAGTTTCAAAGCCATATGTCAATGGACTTTGAAAATATTTGAACTATTACAAAAACTTTAACGTAAATTCTAAGTCGAAAAAAGGGGCATAATTCTGTCAAAATGCTTGATAGAGTTACCTCCTCCTGTCTACAGGTTGGGCGGTCATGATGGTGAACAAGTGTGCAAAGTTTCAAAGCCATATGTCAATGGACTTTGAAAATATTTGAACTATTACAAAAACTTTAACGTAAATTCTAAGTCGAAAAAGGGGCATAATTCTGTCAAAATGCTTGATAGAGTTACCTCCTCCTGTCTACAGGTTGGGGTCATGATGGTGAACAAGTGTGCAAAGTTTCAAAGCCATATGTCAATGGACTTTGAAAATATTTGAACTATTACAAAAACTTTAACATAAGTGGTTACGCCGACGCCGACGCCGACGCTCGGGTGACTGCAATAGCTCTACTTATTCTTATCGAATAGTCGAGCTAAAAAGCATTATTTGTAAAGATATTACCGATTTAACATTTCATGTAAATAAAGGGAGGTAATTAGAAATTTATTTTTGATAAAATCTAAGCCAAATTTTTCAATAAAAATGAATGCATATAATTATTTTAATGATTACTTATAATGCATATACACACTTGCAGTACATATTTAACATATTCTTGGATGTTTGGAAATTGTTTTAAAAGAATGATCATAAACATATATAAAATTTCACAAAGTGTTGTTCCATCTTTGATTACAACAGAATCTTTAAAGGAACTGTTTATGAATAAATCTCAAAGAAAATGTTAAAGCTGAACCAAGACTTCTGTGCTGTAATACTCAACTTCAAGTTAAAAGCAACAACTCTATAACCTGTTTTAAAGCTCCAACATTTCTATTGCTAGATCATTTTATCACCTTTTTCATACTATATCCAGTTTGATACAATATTTGTTTTAACAATGCCTTTTGACATTTAAAACATATACAAACTATAGAGCGATGAAAACATAACTACATACATGAAGGATAAATGTCACTATAAAATAGTATAACTATGCTTTAATGCCAAATGAAAGTTCAACTTAAACCTTTGCTCATTTCAGATTGGATTTTTTTGTAACAATTCATTCAAGCATTAATCATATCAAAAACATGTATGGTTTATTGAAAAGAACTTTAAATAGACAACCAGATATCATCAACTGTACTATTTGATACTGACCATTTAGTCATTCATGTGTTTTTGACAATAATCAAATAATTAAACACATACCTTTACAGCCTAGCAGTTTATTAAGTCTGGCTATTGCATATGAAAATCCAGGCACACCCTCGAGGCATTTGTTTACTGAGCTGACTAGATAATCTACTTTAGCAGCCTCAAGATCTAGAGGTATAGCCCCAAAACTACTCATTGCATCAACAAAGAAATCACTGTCTGAAAATAGACAAAGCATGGTTAATTACATCTAACTTTTCTTTAATTCTTTCAGTATCTTTATAATGTAGCCAAGCAACCAGTTTTTGCAATTCTTTAAGGAAAGTTAACTACATGTAAAAAATCAAAATTCAAATTTTAATTTTTGTATGTAGATATTTTCTCTACTAAAAGTAATCTTCATTGGTTATTAATTCAGCAGCAATTACTCTCATCATATTATTTGGTAAAACTGATAAACACATGCAAACAAATGCCAAAAAGAATAGCAATTTATCTAAAGAAAAATATACATCATCCTGAAACTAGACTGAATATGGCTTGACAAACAGACAGATGAATTGTATATTTCTAATACTGCTTAATAAACTATAGATGAAAGTGATGAGCCTTTGCCACCAGTATTGAGCCAGGCCAGACTTACACATCTTTTCAGTCTGACTAGGCCCTACTGATATATGTAGAACCTCAACTTTTGTATTTTGATACTGAAACCCCTTAAACCATATAAGGACTGTTCTATGTTCAAGGCTGGACAAGTTCATTTAAGAAATTCAGGTTAATGGGTTATTTCATTTCTTCAATAAGTTTTGGGCAGAGAATGAAACATCTATGGCTGTATTTATTTATCTAACATATACATTATGTACCTGGAAGATGTTGTTTTACGATTTTACCAACACCTTCTACCGGGTTGATTACACCTGAACTAGTCTCACAGTGAACCATAGCAACTAATGTGTATGAGTTATTTCCCTGTAGAATACTCTCCACCTTCTTAAGGTCAATATAGTCATTCTCCGGAAAACTGATCACGTCAACTTCAACTCCCATGACCTCACATACCTTACCAAGGCGCTTCCCATATGCTCCATTTTCAAATACTAGCACCTGAATACAAATATGCATGTAGTATAATCAGACAGGGAAACACAACAATGGGCCATCAAAATAGCACTGTTCTACACAAGTTAAAAAGCTGAAAATACCTGTATAGAATGTCCAAGTGAGTATACAAAAAATATCTTAGTTATAGATTAGTTTCATTTCAACATTAAATGTGCATTTACATGGCAAGTAACATTCGTAAGTGTGGTTCTCTGAAATATATATATGAAATATAATAATATAAAATAAAATGAAATGAAATATAAATAATCACCTTTGCACCTGATCTTTTAGTGGCTGTTTGAAAGACTGACTCTATAGCAAATGTTCCACTTCCCTGCATAGGTACAGCAGTAAATGTGGAATCTGACACACCTGAAATAACAAAAGTTGTGAGAAGTAAGACTTAGCAATTATATTATCTCACCTGCATCCTGTTTTTATATTGACTCAAGTGGATAAAAAAATTTTGTGTTGGCAGAATCAATTGTATGTATTGCCACCGTTGTCCCACTGCCTGTACTGACAAGTGAAATTACTTTATAAATATCATACAGACAAGCAAAACTAAACAATCTAGATAAAATGGACAAGTAGGTAAAATCAGATTTTAGTCAGCCCTGCAATTTTCAATTGTTCAAATGTATAATTCTGAAAAAAGGCTTCAAAAATTTTAACAAAATATTGATTAAAACAAAAATATAAGTGAGAATAAATTTAAACAAAATCAAGTTAAAATGGGAATTAAATTAAATTAAATTCAAACAAAATAATTGTTAACCTTATTATTTAAGTGATTTTTACCTTAAATGTATACAACAAAGACCTATAAAGATCTCTTCCCAATAAAATGTTTTCATTAAAAGTATGCAGTTTTCCAAAAAATCTAAACTTACACCAGTTTCTGATTTTCCAAAATCATTAATTTTAGCTATAATTTTTTCCAAAAGCAAAAAGCTAATTTTGACTTACATGTACTTTAAAGAGTACATGTATTTGCTAAAACATCAGAGGCATGCTCCCACAGACACAGGGATTTATTTATTCTTAATGTAAAATTAGGCATTTTAGTTGTATATCTGGAACATCTTAGTCAATTCTTTACTACATGCACTTAAAACGGCCTTGGTTGGAGTATAAATGGCCTAATGATGCTACAGATTTCTGACTATTATCCTACCTGCAATTTGTACCAATTTACTCCTTATAGTTTTAATTAACTTAATAAACTCTACATCTCTTGAGCCAAGGTCTCTAAGCATAGCAGATTTTACAGTTGGTGATGTACCAAGAGGACCTGGTGTAAATAATTTCTTATCTGAAAATATATAGCAATAAAAACATTAATTATATAATTATTTAGTCTTTACAAATAGGTAAGTCCTTCTTTACAGCAAAAATGTCCATGAAACAAGAATATGTAGCATAATTATGTTACTTTCAGTTTACATTTTCATCTCTATTTTCTATAATTCAAAATTCATGAGAGACTATTTTGATATTTTTTTATATACATGTCATTCTGATTATCCATACTTCATTATGAGTCTAACCTCCCATGTTGACTATCCCTTCATAACATTACTTGACATATAGCTTAATAAGTAACAACTTAAACATGACACAAATCAAATATAAACAAGAATCCTTGAGCTTTTAGGAAAGAACAAAATAATTAATGACAATCATGAATTATAACCCATTCATCACACATTTAGATAACAAACCTGACATTTTTCTTGGTGATAAAAAAATCTGTCTTGATTGCAATATTTCTGTAGCATTAACTGAACACAGTGGGCGTATGTCTCTTATTCCATATGAATGTGCTAGCTTTCTAATTGACATTCGTAAAGCCATCACTGAAAATTAAAGACAATTATAATACAATCATTGTCATATTTCCATGAAATAAGTGAAGTTAAAAGCAGTTTAGCTTTAAACATTCACCATAAAAGTTAAAATTGAACAAGACCTGTCTGCAGACAGTGTCCTCCACTTTTGGGTCAAATTAGATGAAATTTTCCAAGGATGTTCCTTAGGCGCTACTAAAATTGTTCAAATGATTCTGCTCCATTGAGTATTAAGGTCAGGAGGGTTAAAAATAGATTAACTGATTTTAAAAATGAAATCTTTAAAAATGGTATCCTCTGAAATTGCAAGGCTTAGAGCTTAGAAACTGTGTCACTGTTTGAAGCATTATCTAATGAAATAAACAAGAGCTGTCACAGGAGACAGCCAAGCTCGACTAATGAAATACTGGACACAGTAAGGAGGACAAAAATATGAAAGAAAAATCAATTATGTATAATTATGTATTAAGTTATAGTAAAAAAATAACATTTGTTAAAATAAATTCCAAGATCAAGGGAAATAATTCAAGAAATAGTCACACTAGAGTTATGAACCTTGTCACACAACATGTATGTAATGATAAGAAGTATATATTTGAAGTTTGAAGTAGATACCTTAAAAAGTAACAAAGTTATAATATTTCTTAAAGAAAATTTTAAGTTCAAAGAGAGATAAATCTGTTAAAATTACTTCAAGAGTTATGAACATTGTCACATAAAATATAATTGATTATAAGGAATAAGTATTTGAAGTTTGAGGTAGATACCTTTAAAACTAAAAAAGTTATAGTAAAAAATAACATAATTCTAGTAAAAAAATCTAAGTTGATGGGGAGATAATTCTTGCAATATTGGTGCTAGAGTTATGAACCTTGTCACATAAGATGTGGATGATGATAAGGTACATTTATTTGAAGTATGAAGTTGATCCCTTTAGAAATAAATAAGTTACAGTAAAAAATAATATCTTTAAAAGAAAATTCTAAGTTCAAGGGGAGATAAATATGAAAATATTGGTGCTACAGTTATGAACCTTGTCACATAAGATGAGGATGATGATAAGGTACATATATTTGAAGTATGAGGTTGACCCCTTAAGAAATAAAGAAGTTACAGTAAAAAAGGTATTTTTTAAGGAAAATTCTAAGTTCAAGGGGAGATAAATCTGAAAATATTGGTGCTAGAGTTATGATTCTTGTCACATAAGATGGGGATGAGGATAAGGAACATATTTTTGAAGTATGAGGTTGATCCCTTAAGAAATAAAGAAGTAACAGTAAACAAGAAGGCCATGATGGCACTGAGGTCGCTCACCTGTATATAGGCCCCCCCCCCCCCCCCCCCCCCCCCCCCAACATTGCAGGCCAATTTAACCCAAGGGCTTTTATTTGCACACACTCGGTTAGACACCCATAAGAAGATGTTTCATGCTAAACATCTAAGCTCTAGCTCATTGGGCTTTATTTAAAGAAGATTTTTTTAAAGTTTTTACTATACACATATAGTTAAAAACAATGACACCCCTGGTGTGGGGCCGGGCCAGTTTTGACCCCAGGGCTTTTATTTGAACAAACTTTGTAGACACTTACTATAAGATGTTTCATGCTTAATATCTAAACTCTAGCTATTTGGGTTTTTTCAAGAAGATTTTTAAGTTTTTGCTATACACATATAAAGAAAATCAATGATCCCCGGGGCAGGGCCAATTTTGACCCCAGCTCTTTTATTTGAACAAACTTTGTAGACACTCACAAAAAGATGTTTCATGCTTAATATCTTAACTCTAGCTATTTGGGTTTTTTCAAAGAAGATTTTTTAAGTTTTTGCTTTACATATAAAAGGAAAATCAATGACCCCCGGGGTGGTGCCAATTTTGACCCCAGGGCTTTTATTTGAACAAACTTGGTAGACACCCATTAATACATGTTTGATGCTAAATATCTTAGCCATAGCTCTTTGAGTTCTTTAAAAGAAGATTTTTTAAGTTTTTACTATATGCATATAGGGAAAATCAATGATCCCCCGGGGCAGGGCCAATTTTAACCCCAGGGCTTTTATTTGAACAAACTTGGTAGACACCTATTAGAACATGTTTGATGCTAAATATCTTAGCCATAGCTCTTTGAGTTCTTTAATAAAGATTTTTTAAGTTTTTACTTTATGCATATAGGGAAAATCAATGACCCCCTGGGGTGGGGCCAATTTTGACCCCAGGGCTTTTATTTGAACAAACTTGGTAGACACCCATTAGAACATGTTTCATGCTTAATATCTTAGCTGTAGCTCTTTTGGTTCTTTAAAAGAAGATTTTTTAAGTTTTTACTATATGCATATAGGGAAAATCAATGACCCCCCGGGGCGGGGCCAATTTTGATCCCAGGGCTTTTATTTGAACAAACTTGGAAGACACCCATTAGAACATGTTTCATGCTAAATATCTTAGCTCTAGCTCTTTTGGTTCTTTAAAAGAAGATTTCTTAAGTTTTTACTATATGCATATAGGGTAAATCAATGACCCCCCGGGGCGGGGCCAATTTTGACCCCAGGGCTTTTATTTGAACAAACTTGGTAGACACCCATTAGAACATGTTTCATGCTAAATATCTTAGCTGTAGCTCTTTTGGTTCTTTAAAAGAAGATTTTTTAAGTTTTTACTATATGTAGTACAGTACATGTATATAGGGAAAATCAATGACCCCCCAGGGCTTTTATTTGAACAAACTTGGTAGACACTCACTAGAAGATGTTTCATGCCAAATATCTAAGCTCTAGCTCTTATGGTTTTTTAAAAGAAGATATTTAAAGTTTTTTCTGCATGGAATTAAATTCTTTGAACAATTTTTAAAGGTGACCACCAAAGGAACATTCCTGTGAAGTTTGGATGAAATTGGCTTAGTGGTTTATGAGGAGATGTCATTTAAAGTAAAAGTTTACGGACGGACGACGGACAGACGGACGACGGACGGACGCGGGACGAAAAGCGATCACAAAAGCTCACCCTGCCACTTTGTGACAGGTGAGCTAAAAATAGTATTTTTTAAGGAAAATTCTAAGTTCAAGGGGAGATAAATCTGAAAATATTGGTGCTAGAGTTATGAACCTTGTCACATAAGATGTGGTTGATGATAAGGAACATATATTTACAGTTTGAAGTGGATACCTTCAGAAATGACAAAGTTATAGTGAAAAATATTTTACTGCACCAAAACTTTAATCTGAAATCTTGACGCGGACGCCGACGCCGGGGCGAGTAGGACAGCTCTCCATATACTTCGTATAGTCGAGCTAAAAATGTTCAAATTATAGCCTTAGGTCACAATTGGCCCAACCCCATGGTATCATGGTTTCCCTGATATAGTCAATACTTCAAGAATCTTCTTCTTGAAAACTGCAAAGGCTATACATATATCTTAGATATTTAGCATGAAACATTGTCTAGTGGACTTTTTCAAAACTTATTCAAGTTATAGCCCATGTGTCAAAATTGTCCCGCCTCAAGGCCTTAGGGTCATGTATTTTCCTTACATGCATATTGTATATAGTAAAAAAATAAAAATTCTTCTTCTTTAAAACCATTAAGGCTAAAGCTAAGATATTCGGCATGAAACTTTTTCTACAATATCTATCAAGTTTGTTCTACAATATCTATCAAGTTTGTTCAAATTTTAGCCAAAGGGGCCATTGGCCTCAAACCTTGCAGCCCTCACCCAAGGATATACTTATTTTTTGTAAAGCAGTGAAAGCTAGTGCTTATTACAAGAATTTGAACAATGTTGGTCACTAGACCATACCTCATTCAAAATATATTCTAAAATTTATACTTTATATATGTATTTAAAACTTAAATCTTCTGACTTATTTTGTTTTGTTTTTAAAGCTACAGCTATGAAATTTGGACCTATTCACATTTATAGATGCAAAATTGAACTTTGACATCTGTTTACCTAGATTTTGACCCAGCTAGTGACCTACTTTTTGTAAAACAGAGCTAACACTATAAACTTTGGACTTATAGCAGTTTCAGTCACACAACTGAAGAACATTGACCTGGATTTCAATTTTGACCCAGTGACCTACTTTTGCCAATCTCCCATTTTGAACTGTGAATGTAACTTAGAAATTTCATACATAAAGCTGTAATTATAAAATGTAGGTCACTGGGTCAAAGTCTAGGCCAACTGATATCAAAGTTCAAATCTGTGGCAGTAGATCAATTTTCAGTAATGTAGCTCTTACTACAAAATGTAGGTCACTGACTCAAAATGTAGGTCAAATGATATCAAAGTTCAAATCTGAGGCAGTAGCTGTAGCTCTCAATACAAAAAGTAGGTCACTGGGTCAAAATCTAGGTCAACTGATATCAAAGTTCAAATATGTGGCAGTAGTTCAATTTTCAATGCTGAAGGTGTCAATAGAAAAAGTAGGTCACTGGGTTAAATTCCAGGTCAACTGACATCAACGTTCAAATCTGTGGCAGTAGTTCAATTTTCAGTAAAGTAGCTCTTACTACAAAATGTAGGTCACTGACTCAAAATGTAGGTCAACTGATATCAAAGTTCAAATCTAAGGCAGTAGCTGTAGCTCTCAATACAAAAAGTAGGTCACTGGGGCAAAATCTAGGTCAACTGATATCAAAGGTCAAATCTGTGGCAGTAGTTCAATTTTCAATGCTGAAGCTGTCAATAGAAAAAGTAGGTCACTGGGTTAAATTCTAGGTCAACTGATATCAAAGTTCAAATTTGTGACAGTAGTTCAATTTTCAATACTTTAGTGTAGCTCTCAATACAAAAAGGTAACTGGGTTAAAATCTAGGTTAAAATTCTGCATACAGTATAGTCCAAATGTCATAGCTTTGGCTTTGTTATTAATCTTTCATATCAGGCTCAGCTGACATAAATGTTGACATAATGCCTGTTGTTCATTCATAGTTGTTGTGCATGTATGCTGTCTCCACCTTGATGTATATTTGCTTTCTAGCTATGATAGAATTTGTTTGTTTTGAGTTTATATTTACTGGACACCAGAATTAACCATATGGTCGAGCTTGTAGCGTCCTTGCCAGTACACTGTATTAGTCAGGTAGTCTCATCGGGGACATCTTTTTCATGCTAAATCAACCAGGAGCCCGTTCTTCGTTCAGTGAAGGTGAAGGAGTCGACAATACTGCCAAGACATCAGCTTTCTGACCAACAATAACAAAAACGACCATTGTTAACGCCAACCTCCAAAGTTAGTCATGACAGATCAACCAATCATCTCTGGTTGATGACTTGACCGTGACCTGCCTTGTGCCTTCTCTGCCACGTGCACGCCTCTAGAGGGATTTGGAGAAGGCTATGAAAGAACACATCATATATTTATTTTATATTGAGGGGCGAATCATCACTGAATTGGCCCAATTTGGGGCGAAACGTCAGTGGGACGAATCGTAATTATTCAGTTTATGCTTGTTCATTAATATGAAATGTTCTTAATATGGACCTGTTCTTAATAATAAATAAATCAATCAAATGAACTTCACTTAAATTAAATAAGTTACCTTGTAATTAAATAAATATCTCAGCCGGTCAAGGTACTATGCTGGCAAGTAATTCAGAGTTTTCGTTCTTTGTGAAAAAATGAACATATATGCGAAATGGTCACTTAAAACACGAACATATGTAAAAAGTATTTGATAAGAGAGAAATAGAATCCCAAATAGAAAGTCAAAACTGGCAAAATGAAAATTTGCCGACTCGTTTTAATTTGTCAACGCCGGCTTCAGCGGTATTCAATATTTAAACATGTAATGGTAAAATAATTTTAGAAACATCCCAGATAGCAGATAGTTTTGGTCCACGACTGATTAAGAACTTGCAACTTCTTATTGACGTGCCCTCCGTTGGGCCACTAACACAATTTTAATCATCATTGTTTGTCCTTTGTTGGACAAACTATACAATTTTTTATCATATTCATTGGCACTTTGTAGGACCAACCACACAATCTTTATAGTCATCGCTGGTCCAACGTTGGACCAACCACACAATTTTAATCATAATCATTGATCCTGTATTGGGTCAGCCACACCGATGTACTCATCACAATTGGCACAAGGTTAGACTAATCAAAGAATTATGATATCTTGCCAATTTATGCCCTTTTGCCGTTTGACACTACATTCGCCCTCCAATTAATGAATGCACCATATCTTTATCTTCCTTAGAGTCAACCCCCTGCTGGGGACCTAGACTTGACGCGCGTCAACTGACAAGAATGTTAGTAAAAGAGCTGAAATAAAAGAATATAAAAGTAATGGAAATGAGTATATTGTTAAAAACAGGTAAAAAACAGAATAGGTATTTTAGGGAGACGTATGTTCAGTCCGGCTTACAGCCAGACTGAACTCAGGGCCAGACAAGTTTATGATATCAGGTGGTAAAGCATTCTAGTGGACTATTGTTCTTGGGAAAAATGAATGTTTATAGTAATCATTTTTTGTTTGGACTCGCTGGAATGCATAGAGATGGGATGTTCTAGATGATCTTGTAAGAGGGATGATATACTTTGGGAAAGGGATAGCCACCTGGTCATGCAAGATGTTGTGAAACATGACCAGGCGTTGGTCAATACGCCGAAGGTCAAGGCACCTCCATTGAAGGGAAGTCAACATGTCAGTGACACTTGACATACGGCCGAAGTCATGTTTGGCCCACCTAGCAGTCCTTCTTTGGACAGACTCTATCTGGTCAATGAGAGTTCATGTATAGGGGGACCAGACCGTGGAGCTGTACTCGATCTGGAGCCTGACAATACCAATAATCTATTTGCAGCTTTTTTATTTTTAAAA